ATGTTTACTGTACAGTTTTCTTAAAAGACTAAGTTGGGTTAGATGTTCCAACCAGTGGGATGGCAATCAGGTGTGCATTTCCGGGGTCCTGCCCTATAAAAACATGTACAGACATAATCATTATAGTCTAGTTTTTACTTCATGGAATTATGGAAATGAATCATGTCTTTATCAAAAGAGATCTATGTAGTCCTCAGAAAGAGGACAGGACTATGCTCAGGGGACCAAGGAATGTCTACACAATTATTTGGCTATAATTTTTCAAATCACTAATCAAATGGTTAGGCAGATAGAGTACAAATGGAGAAAATACAACACCACTGTTATTTTTCCAGGAGTGATTATCCAACAACAACAAAAGTTCAAGACTCTAGGAGGACACAGAAAACCCTAAAATAAAGACAAAAATATTTGTAGCCAATTCTTGCATTGTCTGATGTCAATGTTTAAGAATCCACCATAAAAAATGGTATGCATGGGAAGATACCAGAAGGAAAACCATGGGTTTCCAGAAAGCACACAGCCACCTGTCTCTGGTTTGTCAAAGAATTCCTGGATGTTTTAGCAGGCTGATGGAAAAATATTTTGTTACAAAAATGGAATTGTTTTACATGGGGAGTATCATGGTTTAACACTGTTTAAATGGCTCACAGGAATTGAAGACATTGGATTCCAGACTTGAATAACAATTCTGTGGGAGAATGTTAAAGTATCCATTCATAAACTGAAACTTATGTGGATCATGCAGCACAACAATGTTCCTAAATACACAAATATATTTACAGCATAATGGCTGAAGCAGAAGAAATTTGATGTTTAGGAATGACTTACTTGATGGCTTGACTTAACTCAGTTAGAATGTTAGGATGAGACCTGTAGTTGGCTATTCATAAAAATAGTCCCAAAAGACCAGTGAATTGAAACAGTTCTGTAAAGAGGATTTGGCTAAAATATCTCCAAGCTGGTGTGCAGAATTGATCAAAGGATCCATATGTTAATATAGAAAGTTCTCCAGTTAGCAAATCTAAAACTTCCTATACTTTTTTCAACACAGACAGTGAACTGTTGGCTCATTGTATTCTATAGCAACATGACAAGATATATTCTTATGCAATTCTTTAACTTCTTTAACTTCTAAATTCTTTAACCAGAATTTATTTTATTTATCTATTCACTTTATCTATTCATGGGAATCTCAGAATACATTGTAGGCCAGAGTACTACGGGATTATGGATAGTTGTAAAGAGTTCACAAACTTTCTCTCACATTGTAAATCTAAAAACATGACTAAACTTGATTGTGATAAAAGACTGAGGAATGTAATGAAAGACATAATGTTCTGAATGCGGAACAGAACATTTTTTGATAGTGTCAAGAATGAATCTTAGGAAAAAATAAATATGGAAAGAAAGAAATGAAACAAATGAGCAAAAGTAAATGAATTGCTGGAAGAATCCTGTAAGGTGTGAGGTGGGGGGGATCTATTTAATATATTAAATAGATCTTACAACTCTGGATGTTGTATATCAAAGTTAAATAAACTAGAAATAAAACAGAGGGAAAAGCAAACAAAACTGTATGTATATTAAACAATGCCAAAATTAAGTAAGGTTTTAATGCTTTTCCTTCCCAAATACATAGTGGGAAGATCGATTAATCTCCCAACAGAACCAATGCTAAATGGATTTACAGAAAGAGGGGATACAGAAGCTGCTTGAAGAAATTGAAATGAATTATATTTCTGAATGTCACTGAAGTGTGGGAAGCAGTGGCCTTTGTGGAGAGGCGGGGATGAAAAAGTCTTCAATTGCATGATAAAAGCCCTGCCCCTTTCTACGTGCATGCGATATGAGCCAAGGCTTTGACTGCATGGTAAGAGTATGGTGGCGCAGTGGTTAGAATGCAGCACTGCAGGCTACTTTTGCTGCCTGCTGCCTGCCTGCAGTTCAATAGCTCAATTCTTACCAGGCTCAAGGTTGACTTGGCATTCCATCCTTCTGAAATTGGTAAAATGAGGACCCAGATTGTTGCATGCAATATGCTGACTCTGTAAACCACTTAGAGAGGGCTGTAATACACTGTGAAGTGGTATATAAATCTAAGTGCTATTGCTATTGCTATGAGAGCCATCTAAACTGTTTTTATGGCTTCCCCCCTCCTCCATGGTTGTCCCTGGCATAGAATTAAACTAAGCAGAAAAATAGGACAAAGGATACTTTATAGAATGATGGAATAATACTGAATGATGATATCAATCAATCAATCAAAATAGAGCTGGAAGGGACCTTGGAAGTCTTCTAGTCCAATCTCCTGCTCAATACCATTTCAGACAAGTGACTGTCCAGTCTCTTCTTAAAAACCTTCAGTGATGAACTACCTACAACTTCTGAAGGCAAGCTGTTCAATTGCTTAATTGTCTTCACTGTTAGGAAGTTTCTCCTCAATTCCAAGTTGCTTCTCTCCTTGATTAGTTTCCATCCATTGTTTCTTGTCCTGCCCTCTGGTGCTTTGGAAAATAAATGGACCCCCTCCTCTTTGTAGCAGCCTCTCAAGTACTGGAATACTGCTATCATGTTCCCCGCAAGTCCTTCTTTTCTCTAGACTAGCCAAACCCAAATCCTGCAACAGTTCTTCATAATAAATAAACAACTAAAGTAATAAATACACAACGAAATTAGAAATAAGAAAAGCCAGTTTGGCCTAGTGGTTAAGGTACCAGGCTAGAAACTGTGAGATAATCAATTCTACTTCCATTTTAGACATGAAACGTGGCTGGGTGACTTTTGTCGAGCCACTTTCTCTCAGCCCAACTTACTACATACGATTGTTGTTGTGGAGAAAATAAGAGGAGAAAAGAGTAATAGATATGTTCATTGCCTTGAATTATTCATACAAATAATATAAGCAGGACATAAACACTCTATGGATAAGGAGAATTATTATAATGGTTGTTTCCTGCAAAAACATAATAATTAGAGCAATATATTGTATTAGGTGTATAATGAGAGATATTTAGAAAGAATGTGGTCAAGGAGAGCAAAGAATACTTTAGTTTATAAAGGACAGAAAATTAAGGTTTAATTTCAATAAAAGAATTAGAATTCTAATCTTCAAAAAAGAATATTCTACAAATATTGATGCATAAGGAAAACAAAGGATGAAGAAGTTCTCAATGCAAAAAAAATGGTAAAACATTGCATGACTTCAGGTGTCCATGAATTAACTAAAGAAATAATTAAAATATGCTTTTAGCTTGCATAGGAATCACTTATGTAACCTGTTTGTGGTAAAATAACATCTGTGCCCTATGACTGGAAAAATGCTGTAATTATTCCTGTACATATAGGAAAGGAAAGGTAGCACAAGTAAATACAAAAAATTACACAAGATTTGTAATTACCTTGGAAGACATTTGATAGAATTCACCTAAAAGCTTAAGAGAGGTGTAAATGCAGCTAGAGTTGTCTGGAGGGGCATGTATACATTTGTGTGAGTGTGTGCAAATCAGATTTTTGTTGTGCAGTAAGTTACTGAGAAATGCATTAATGTGACAAAGAAACAAATTTATTGTAAATGTGCTGAAAGCACATGATGAAATTAATAGGCTTGAATTGTGTGTGAATATGACATTTTGTTGTTGAATTTGCTAAATACAGTATAAGAAGGAAATTAAGCCTGGCTAAAAATAAATGAAATGCTTAATGAAGGTTCAAGGAGAAAAGAAGACAACTTTATGCTATGATCTCTTCATTGTTTCAGGTATTTAGGAAGAAATGGGTAAGGAATACAAGTAGTGACATTGGAGGTATGTTGGTTAGAGATGCGAGTGTACCTGTTATTTTGTATGTAGCCAATATCATGCTTAGGTATTAGGTCCCAAATGCACTGAACGTTAGATTGCATTTTGCAAAAGAGTGTATTAGGACAGACTTCAAAATTAAAGTTTCAAATAGTTGAATGCGAAAAGAGACTGAATGTGAAGGAGTTTGTTTCTGTTTTCATATTAGTCTTTCTGTGATTGCAAAAATTTTATAGGGGTTCTATAGAGATGCTTTTAACCAGGTGCTTCTTGTTCTTGGATGTCTCGACAAGAAAGGAGATCTTTTTGGAAATGGTATCTCTTTTACAATCTGCCTAACCTAAAGAAATATTCTTTTGCCACCAGGTGACAATGTGGGCATTTAATCAACTGTAAGTTTCATTGTATTACAATTGTGTTTCGGCATGGAACCAATTAGTATTTGCAAGAGACACCCATTAGGAACCACAGGTTGCATGCTAGAAGTGAGAAAAGAAAATCCTGGAATGGTAAATTGCCAACTCCCTATAGAGACATGTCCATAATACACGCTTACATACATACATCTTTATTTCTATCATATCTATCTATCTATCTATCTATCTATCTATCTATCTATCTATCTATCTACACACACACACACACACATACACACACACACACACTCCAGATATGGGAACATGCACACAAACACATAGACACCTCTTATAGGCAGTCCTATTTTCCAATGTGAGAAGTGTGGCAATAGAATAGAATGGAATGGAATGGAATAGAATAAAATAGAATAGAATAACAGAGTTGGAAGGGACCTTGGAGATTTTCTAGTCCAACCCCCTGGTTTCAGACAAATGGTTATCCAATCTCTTCTAAAAAACTTCCAGTGTTGAGGCATTTATAACTTCCGGAGGCAAGTTGTTCCACTGATTAATTGTTCTGTCAGGAAATTTCTCCTTAGTTTTAGTTTGCTTCTCTCCTAGATTAGTTTCCACCCATTGCTTATTGTTCTTCTCTCAGGTGCTTTGGAGAATAGCTTGACTCCCTCTTCTTTGTGGCAACCCCTGAGATATTGGAGCACGGCTATCATGTCACCCCTACTCCTTTTTTTTCATTAAACTAGACATACCCAGTTCCAGCAATCATCATACTCCAGTCCCCAAATCATCTTTGTTGCTCTTCTCTGCACTCTTTCTAAAGTTTCAACATCTTTTTTACATCATGGCAACCAAAAGTATTCCAAGTGTGGCCTTACCAAGGCATCCCTCAATGGCTTGATATCTCCTTGAGCATTGTAAAAACCTGAGATCATTAGTGATGTCACCCAGATGGCCCTGACCCCTCAAACCCACAGCAGCACTGGCCAGGGATGCCAATGGCTGCCACAGGTTAGTAATTGCATGGAGGAAATGTATAAATAAAATGAATACGCCTGAAGGCTCTTTCACTCCATACACCAAGTGGTTTAAAAATGGGGCAAGTGGTCATGATTTGTGAATAAAGGTCATGTGAATGAACTTACATAGAAAAGATTCTTGGAGCCACTTTACAAAACCAGAGAAGAAAACAATGATGAAATATATAAGTAGTAGCTTTGCCAATGAATCATATGGAGAGTAAGGGTAGCACCCTTAGCCAGGCATATCATTTAAAAATAGAAGACTGAATAAATGGACAGGATGAAATGGAATTTAAAAAGCAAATAAAAGGAGATGTCATTGCATAACTGATAGTGACATTCAGTGACCACACAAGCCAATTGGGTAAGCTGTAGCACAGAATTGGATGAAGCACAGGCTCTATTGTTAGGCCAAGCTGGGTCCAAATCCAATTATTCTAAGCAGAACAAAACAACAGGGCTTTGATAAATAATACAATTTGTACCAGGAAGCAAGCAAGTCCGCTCAGGTCCAGAGGGATTATTTTAAAAACTACAAATCCAAGGACTGCAGAGAAAATCTTCTTTACAAAGCCAGTAATGGAAGCAGAAGCCGGAGGGGATGGGGGTGTGGGGGTGGGATTGTACAAACTCTTGAAAACAGGAAAAATATAATCTAAGTAACCTTTGGAAAAGTGAATTAGGCAAAAAGAATGAGGAAAATGGAAGTCTTGCCAATATCAAGCCATTTAAAACAAAACACAATGCTGATATCTACTGTACAAATATAAAACAGGCATAGTCCATCCTTATATAAATAAATCCAATTCTTAACAGTTTCAAGTGTTGTTCAATCACATCATGAGGAGGAAAGCCAAGAGGTGTTTATGGCTCCAATCCATCCATGGTCACTCTTTCACTCACCTTTGCCTTGCATGGAATGGAGAGTAGGTAGATAGGTAGGTAGGTAGATAGGTAGGAAGATAGATATATAGAAATATAGACAGACGGGCAGACAGAGAGATAGATAGATAGATAGATGACCAATGACAGACAAATACATAGATAGATAGATGACAGATGATTGATCAAGAGACAGACAGACAGACAGACAGGCATATGTCTATGGAGATTCTCAAGCATCTAGGTCATGATTGTTCCAAAGGCAACTGGACTTTGTTTTTTCTTGAAGACATTTAGCTTCTCATCCAAGGAGTTTCTTCAGTTCTGACTGAATGGTGAAGGATGGAAGGATTTATATTCTTCATATATTCATCATATGATGACTGCAAGGAATATAAATCCTTCCATTCACCACCATTCAGTCAGAACTGAAGAAGCTTCTTGGATGAGAAGTGAAAAACAAAGTCCAAAAACAATTTGAGACAGACAGAAAGAAAAAGAAAGCTGGGAAATATCTATGATCACCTTGTGCATTATTATCCTATCTAGTGTAAAAAATATTTTTTGGGGGGTGGGGGGTGGGAGCTAAATAAAAAAACTGCTTGAAGCAAAAACTTTACAGTATATGAATTGCCTCAAGGATTGGGTGAGAGTGGGGAGGACTAATCTAAATTAAATAGAATAGAATAGAATACTTTATTGGCCAAGTGTGATTGGACACACAAGGACACAAAAGGAACATGTGCTTGAACAGATGCTGGTTCTTCAGTCCACATTGAGCCTTTTGATGCACAACTTCACAATTCTTATTCTCCTTTCAGGAAAAATCCAAACTGAACTAAGATCAGCAATTAAAAAAAAACCTATGTAATTTAGAACTATGGCTATCTATACAAGTATCAATTTGGTCAATATATTAAAAGTGCTTTCTAAAAGATCAACTTTTTGCCCTTTAAAATTTCTTAACTTCTGATGCTAGGAATTCATATACCTGTGGGCAGAATACAATTAGTATTTTTCCAAAGAAATCACAAAATTCTAGAGATAGCTCTATCAGGCATTTCTGGAACATTTTAAACTCCTAGTTTACCAGACTCAAACTTTCAAACTGTACTGTACTGTTTTATCTTATCTGCATGCAGGAAAAATACAAAAAAATGTTATAAAGTATTTCTAGATGACTCTTTGATATATATTTGCCTTGTCTGAAATTCAGATTACAGGGGAGGGGAAATCAGATGTCATTATCCTCCATTTTTAATCCTTCAGTTCCTATCATTTTCATGTCACTTTTCTCATTGCAGAAATCTATTAAATTCCAGAATACAAAGAAAAGGAAACCGCATGATAGATTAAATTGTCTCTAGGTAAGGGACACATTTGTTCCTCTTTTTGTATTACCACCTCCCCATTTTAAAAATTCTTGTTTGTTTACAATAAAAGTTAGTTGTGTGCCAAGTTTACAAGAGAGGTACTGCAGTTTATGTTAACAAAAGAAGTTAGAGTCTACATTAGAACTGAAGGGCACGCTGGCATGAACAAAGTTCCTTACCTCTCTAAAAGAAGACATAGTGAAACTGAATAGATTGGATAGATAGATAGATAGATAGATAGATAGATAGATAGATAGATAGAT